CATTACACCCTGAGCTCTGTTTTTTGTGTAAATCTTAAATCAGGTTGTGAACTACTTGACAATGCGTATTAAGTCTGAGCTTATTATGAATACTAGCCGAGGATGTTCTGATTGAGGCGGGTGACGTTGCTAACTCTGTTTCAAATTGTTGTTCATTTAAATAGGATATACGTTGAAGAAAGGAGAACAAATTTTGATGATGTTAATAGATGATAAGAACATACCTGGACAAGCGTCACTGTCGTAGCTATCATGTATATTCTAAAACATTGAATAATAATTAAGCATAAATAACAGTGTCAATTATATATTTATATCAATACTTTTTACTTGTATGATCATAACATAATCATTTATATAACACCTAGATCTGCAATTATTAAATTTTATTATATATAACATTTATTTTCCGACAAAACTTACATTCACATCAAGGGCCAAAACAAACATGCTTGTATTTGTTTAATTCAATCTTATTTGACGAGATAAGAAATAGAATAATCAGAAAATCATTACTACCAGATTAACAACTGTCTTCAACATGGTACTCAGTTTGCCACATGTTTTGTTACGATCAGTATTTTTGTCAGTCTTAACTATAAGCTGGCCTAAAAGGTCTGGGTTCCCTTGACTTGTTACGTCTAAGACAGAGCACCATTCTGATTCGACTCGGTTTTGTCGTGAGAGATGCAAGTGCACGACCAAAGGAAGTAAGACACTCATGTTGACGATTGCTACGGCAACCAATATCGTTAGAGTACATTTTAATTTCTGTAAAAGTAAATGGTATTATGAATATGCCAATATTCTAGTTCAAACACTTCTTTTTTTCTAGTACATACACTAGCGTTGTGAAAAAAAAAGGTACAAGATAAGTTTAAAATTCATACACAATATTTCGACAAAAAGACAAGCGACCTCAGGTTCATGTCATTATAAACAGAATATATAAAATCGGACCGACACGGAGGCGGAATCCTTGAGTCCCGGAGATTTGATCTTTGCGGTACTGCACTTGCTCGGAAGGGCAAGGTAAGATTAACCGGACAAAACATTTGACCAAAGGATTTACCAATATGGGGGTCAGCCCATACGTGTAAGTGTAATAAATGTGACAAAACGCCTTTAAAGACAATGTGTATAATGTGCATAAATGATGCTGATATTGTAACTACATGGAAAAAAACGCAACGCTTTTTAAAGACGTCTTCATCTAGATCTTATTTTATAGAAAATGGAATACTGATATAACGTCATTGTGGATAATAAATAAAAGGAGCATATTTAAGAACAATATTGTGTGCACGTTTTACTATATTGTATGGAACAGAATTTGGGTATTTATTCATTTGACTACTTGTTGTTTTCATTTGCTTAGGTTTAAATCATATTCCTACAAATTTGATTCATCTGTGAGTAAATCAAAGTTCTTTACTTAAATATTTATTTATTCTTTCTTACTATGTTTATAGTAAATTGTAATATTCTAAAGCCAGTGCTTCATCTTAATTCGTTTGATTTAGTATTAGATACCAATAAATTACTTTTTGTTTTAAACATGTGCTATTTCTACTTATTTAAAAGAAAGTGTGTTTTCTCGAACTTGTTTCTTACAAATGTATTTGTGCAACTCTTATTCCCATTCGATTCACACTGAAAATAAATTTGTATGTAGAGGCTATAAGAATTGTTGTTATAGAGATTTATTATGAAATTATTAACCTTAAACAACCATAAGCGAAATGATACTGACTCATTTCAATAAGAAGAACAGCAGAACAAATAAAAACTAGAAACCACTTGATTAATATTTGCTTTTTGTGTCCTAGCTGGGTACCAGACCTAAAATTCTAGCGGAAAATCTTAGTGATGGGAGGTAACTCATGTATCGCTTCGGTATTTTCCGTAAGCACAAGGTGTTAGGATACAATGCTACGCGGCGATTTAATCCAAGTTTATAGGTAGCACACCACAGTAATGTAATCCACAGCTTCGAATGGCTAGGGAGGAATTTTTGAGATATAGTGAATATTCTTGATTTAACCTTTTACCCCATGAGCATATTGTGAAAAATGGCCGTTTTCATTGAAAAGCCAACTGTTACAAGTTCAAACTGCTTTGAAACTATGAAAAATGCTTCAATACTGATGAAACTTGGCACAAATGTTGACTGGACCATAACCTCTGTAACAGCATGCTCAATCGTTAATTTTCTGTTACCATGGCAACGGGGGACGTCTCAAAATTGCGAAAAATCGCTGTTTGTTTCCATCAAAACTGATTTCAAAGTGCTGCAACTTCTCAATGAATTAAGACAGAGTAAAAGGCTTTTCAGCGTTAGTTACTAGTTACCCTGAGATCGACCTGAGGCCATTTTTAGCCTGTCAAATGTTCAAAATTTTCTTGGCAATCAGGGGAACTACCGCCCCCTTCAAACCCCCCAAACAAAAGGGAGCACATCCCCCTTCTGGCAACCCCCTGATGTACTATTTTGATGGGGGCCGCGCCGAAAAGTGGTCACTTTTTTAACAACATTTCTCAAATGAAAAACAGTGTTTGGGGTCCTAAATAGGGCATTTTTTTCACTGTTTGAGGCCTCAAAGGGGGGGGGGGGCAAAAAGCCACCAAAAACACGTCTATAAAAGGGAAAGGTTAAATGACTGGTTGTCTTTAAAGTGCATTTTAGCATGAAATTTGTTTTTGTGACATCTAATATGATCACTGGTAAATTTGAAAACATGGCCAGAAATCACATGCTGTTGATTATAGATGCCAATGCCGCCAGTTTTTGTAAACATTGCTTTTAAACGGTAAAAACAAGTCATTTTTCGGGGGGGGGGGGGGGGTACAAACTTTTAGCAGTAGCAAAAAATCTACAAGGTTGAGCACCAGTTTCTTTTGTGATATTTGCATGTATAGGGAGTTGCTAAAGCAGAGACGGTGTTCCTTTAGCCTGTATATTTGCAGGTATTTTTTGCCAGAGGGACGAAATGTGTTGTTTTGGGTCTCGGGCCACTGTAGGTTTTGGGCTTCAACGGAATGAATTGCAACTTTTTTGACTGCCTGCCTATTGCAGATGGGATGATTTCTTTGCAGATTTGCAATCTTATGTCATATATGTTCTCAACAAAATGTGTTTTCTTTTTCCAGGTTGTGTAGTTTGGTATCAGAATTATTAGACGTATTGCTTGTAGGACATTGACGGCAGGAATTTGAAATTAACTGTGGAGTGCTGCCCTGGATTGTGTGGATTTTTTTGAAGAGAATATTTCAACGGTTACACAGTCAGACTTGTACGGAAATATTGGTTCCCGGCTAGATGTATAAATTTAAATTTCAAATGTAATTTCGTATTCGTTTAATTGCAGTTCGTATTCGTCTAGGTTCATTCGTATAGATTTTATTTCAGTATTATGTAAGTTAACCCACTTTGTATTCTTAAAAGAAAGGACGTTCAAGATCATAAGTTAAAACTAAATTATTCAATTGAAAAGGAAGAAGTATGCAACATAATATCTAATCACGTAGTTTAAACAAGAAGTAGAAACAATTGATCCTTACATTCTGCAGTATCAAAATGTTTAACTGTCAATTAAACAGTAGCAATCAAACTTGTTTAAATCAATTTAAAGTATAATTATAGACAATAATTTAATGAATAGAAATTGAAGGATAAACTGCGAATAAATACCCAAATTCTGCTCCATAATATTGTGGTCTTACATTTTTACATAGTCGTTAAGCATGTGATATTTACATAAAAGTAAGAAATACTACATACTTAACGACTTACGCAAATAAAAGCATATGTCGTGCCTTGAGAGTACCTATGTGTTAGAAAATGAGAGGGTACCTGTGATATAAAAATTTAAATGATGAGAGGTAGCCCGTGCCGCTGCAAAACCGAAAGTAGGGTGTTTTTATAAATTTTACATTTATTTTTGACAATATACTGCCATTTGTCCGAAGATGATATGTAAACGAACATATTAAATATGTACGATGCATAAATAATCAAGCCACAGGTTCATTGCAGCCCGAAAAGTATGTCGAGGTGTTGGGCGAAGTAATACATGTCGATTTTTTGTAGCTTATTCTGAAGTTGCAGTACATGAAAAACGGGCACATGACGAATCAGCACTGAAATAAAACATTCTAGTGTTCCGTGGTATACATCTTTTCTACGTGTCATACCTCCTTTCCTTATTACAATGAAATTTTACTGGATTGTTATCCATCGCTGGTTTGTTTTTAGCAGAGGTGCTAAGAGGGTACCGTTTGAGCAGATTTCGCAAAGAGGGTACCGATATGGATATGCACCGTGCATTCATTGGTTCATTTCATCCGAGGTGTACTTATTGTGGCGACAGAGAAAGTAATAACTAGAGCATTCGTATTCAGATGCACGTCCATGGTTACGTTTGTTTTTTTTATATATTTTGTGAAGACAACAAATTTGTCTCTATGTTTGCCTTTATACACATACCTCGTACAAATAAGATAGCCTCGTTTTTCCATGCGCCTTTTATAAATCCATAGATATTATACAAATTGAACTTATTTTTTTCATTTTGTCTGAAGAGATTGCCATTGGTAAGATTAATAGAAAAATATCTAGACAAAAATGAGAAAACAACAGTAATATAACATTAAAAAAAATGTAAAAACAGTATTTAGTTATGTCTTTTTAAGTCTGTATATGACTATTTTGACCATAGCAAACATTTGTTATCAAGTGAAATCTTATTTGTTCTCAATTAAATCTAACAAGCGAATTAAGAAGAAACAAATTCATATTTTCAACAAAAAATAGCTTGTTATAATTTTATTATGACCTTTTTAAATTACCCTATTAAATTACGACTCCTTTAACTGCATATTTGTAACGACAATTATTTTTCTTATGAAAATAAATGTATCCCTACTTTCCTGTGTGTATCAAATAAGCGTAGATGAATCGGTTTACAACAATACCAACATTGTTATTAAAACTATATTACCTTATAATTGTTTGTATTTCCTTCTGACTTTTCACGTACGTCCCTTTCCTCCATTCTTGTTGATGTTTCACACACACTTTACCCTACAAAACATTTAAGAACACAGTACATAGAAACACCTAGATACCGGTCGATTATTTTCTGAATTACGTGTCACTTATTGTAAACAGATAGGCCCTGATATGCGTCAAATGATTCATTCAATTTTGTTTCAGTTGCATAAGAATTGTACATATGAAGGGAAACTGGATTACTATTATCTAGATGAGCACATATATCAATTTCATATGGGGGTATTGTTTATGGCTTAATGGTGAAATGTAAAGAATGACTAACAGTGATACGTCTATAAACAAACTATGATGCAGAGGGATGCAGCTTAATCTAAATGTTATAATAATTCAGATTGATATACATCAGTATTACCATATTAATACACAATGAAGATAGTTTTGCGGTTTACTTTTATGTGCGATGTTACGTCAATAATGTGTAATGCCCTCAAAATGAATATAATAGTCAGTCACAGGAACAAATCTTTTCTCATTTTAAAGTATTAAATGATGGTTTTTCTAACTAGAGCGTTAAAATTTCACAAAAGATGTCACAATGAACTTTGGTAACGTTAAAGAACATGTCAAATAAATGACTTAAAATTGTTTCAATCATACAATATCCACAGTACTAATATCTGTTATTGTAACTCTCAGGGTTTGTTCAAGACACAAATATTCGGTGATTCTGTCGGGTTCTAAATTTCGTTCAACATATATAGAATATATTTACGCTTTTAACCCAAAATATATAGGATTAATTCAAGATTTTAAAAAATGCCATTATAAGGAGATTTGAGTTCATAAGATCATTATAATATGTTTGTCATTAATTCGCCTGCATATCCCTTTAAAAAACTTAATATCGGCAGAATCCTTTAAGCGTTGCGTTCATATCAGAAAACAAAACATGAGTGCTAATGTTTGAGTCAAAGATATGGATATCTGATAATTAGCAGTGGATGCGAAAAGATAAAACTTTTACTTATATTGCAAAAAGGATACCTAAGTAGGTTGGAACATCTGACAAGTTTTCCTGTTTATCCTTTGGCAACAGTGAATATAACAGATACTAAAACGTCTTTTTAATTTAATTTTAACCTTCTTTTAATTTGGTCTATAGGTTCTAAAACTCTTTATAAAATTGTGACAGAAACAATTTAGATAGAATAACAGTAATGATCTCTATATATAATAGGCAAATAAATATTGTACCAATGAATGAACAAAAACTACAGGTAAGAACACCCTTGAAGTTCAAATTAACTTAATCAAAGAACTCCACTCTTCTTTCTTCTGTGCCAAATTGCTTTAAATGAAACATGATACCTGTATTTCTTTATTTGTTTCCTGTAAAGAGTTTTTTTGTTTATTTTTTTATTATAAAAACAATAATTCGCGATATCTTAAACATTTAAAGATTTTTTATCAGTTGTAAAAATAAAAATGAATATAAGGTCCAAAGAGTTAGTTTCGGCTAAGAGCGGATACTTAAAAGTACTTAATTTTTATGAAAAGTTGCGTCTACAAGCCCAAAGGCGGAAAAAATGATTGCTGGCCGCATGTGTTTAATTCTTGTCAAGGGCAAGTAGTAGTTTCGCAGTACTGGTTGGTTCTAAAAACAAATTCGAAAGTGCGTTTATAAGATTATAGCTCCCTACACAATTAAACTTAAATAAATTATGTGTAAACCGAATAAAAGTAAACGCAAGTAAACTGATTTTTTTTTCTTAAAAAAAGTCATTTTATTTTATTTGTATTTACAACCTATATGTTTCACTTTATCAAATGTTTCCATACTTAATTCAAAATAAAATGATAAAAATATAAAACAAGATTACCTTTTGTATGAATAATCATCAGCAGGATATTTAAATGTAAACTGCGTTTCTATTTAACCTAATAAATAGGGAAATATAATTTAAGTGCGTTGCATAATATATTATTTAAAATATTGATCAAATACTTGAATCATTTAGTTATCGTCTAAAGAAATTTTATATACGTGTTACCTTCTATAATCGTCGAAGGGTTTTTATAGTTCTCTCTTGTGATTGAGACTGTAAAACACACAGAGACAGCAAAATAAATAAATAAACAAGAAAGTCAGAAGTTTCGTTCTCACGTCTACAACTGTAATTCAAATCTTCAGTGCATTTCATAAATATACAAAACCGTCAAAATCATGAAACAAACGATGAATGAGAAAATGAAGAATGAATATATATCAATACACATATATAAGTAAATTACCTGTAAAACACACAGAGACAGCAAAATAAATAAATAAACAAGAAAGTCAGAAGTTTCGTTCTCACGTCTACAACTGTAATTCAAATCTGCCGTGCGCATGCGTGGCGGTAAATCATGAGCGGAAAAATGAGGCCCGTCACCAGTTACTATATAGTTAGTGTATGATATATGATGAATGATATTATGAGGTTATGGGAGTAAATATGAGATGAAGGGTGGATGGATAAGGAAGAATATATTTATAAGAAATGCACTATATATATCATATAGGATATAATAATGATAAAGTATATACATGTATATATAATGACAAATGACCCTGTGACATACGATAAGCACAGGGACATAGGTAATACCAAGTAGCCAGGAGGTAATATATCACGCGAGCTTGTCAAACTTTAAAATTGTGACAAGTAAAACTTACTAAAGAAATATCAAAATCAATTAAAAAAAATTCAGAAAGCTCTATGGCTGCCTGCAGGGGAAAGATACATCATTTCCTGAAGGGAACTACTTAAAAACTTTTGTTACAAAACTATGCATATAATGAAAAACTTGCTAAGCGGGTATATGTTCTGCAACGTTATTGTAAGTGAAAGTTACAAACATTTTAACATTCAGTGTCTGCTAAAGTAAATAAACCAACTTGAAACTAATATGCACCCAATTTGCATGAAAAAATACCTCAAATATAACAGGTTTAATCATGTTATGAAATAAATACACATTTAAGATCTTACTTTTTAATTGAATACACTTTATTCAAAAAGGGTTTAGTTAAGATTTCTTAAGGATGTAATACGACCTTTTATGATTTTGATCGTATTTATAGAAATGCGTTGTGGTTAAAATTGTAACTCAGGTGTTAGTGGAAAAAACAGGTAGAGTTGTTAGTGATATGTATGACAATGTCAAATCATGTGTTAAGTCATGTTCATCTTATCGGATTCTTTCAATGATTACATTCATTTTCTCACTAACCAGATAGGAAAATCCGTAAACGTTACTTAAAATAGCGGTGTTGGAAAATCTTATCTCTCACACTCCACGTGAGAACTTCTTTTCGTATTCCTACGCACCAACACAAGGGAAGTAATACAGCACAACTTAATACTGTAAACAAATAAGAGTTACTTCCCTTGTCATGATAGAAAGAACGCCAAACAAATTGGATGGAAAAAGTAAATTTTTGTGTTGGTGACACAGTAAAGTGCGGTTTAAATGGTGGAAATGGTAAAATAGTTAATATAATACATCCACTTGGTTCCTATGCTATGTATAAGGTACAACTATTCAATGATGGGAAAATTTTGACACTGGCAAAACATGAACTGGTAAAAGGTCTTCCTGCTGATTTAATGATGATTAATTCTGACATGTACAGTCAATTTATTATTAAAAAATGGCATTTCAAATGCAATCATACATTGATAGCTTGTTTGAAACTTCAATCCTAGACACACTTTACAGCTCGGAACTCAACAACCTTTTGTCTGACATTTCTTCACCTCTCCCTGAAAAAATAAATAAAACTGCTTTACCTAACCAGATTTCAAGAACAACTTCTCCTACTACTGAGGAAACAGGATCTAAATTGCCAATTATTTCCAAAACCTTCAAGGTAACAGGTTTGCACCTCCTCTTGAAATTGAGGACTACATTAAAGAGAATGAAAATGAACAAACAAGAAGAAAAACAATATCACATCAAATCTCCTTGAATCGTACCTTGTTGGTGAAAATGAAAATCGCAAAATCCATGAAATCCCTGCTAATGAGCTCAATCTGTACCTTTGTCAGTTCCTTGTCAGTGTGCGCCAGAAGAATGGGGATGGATATGAACCAGTCACGCTACGTAGTATGATCAGCAGTTTTGAAAGATATCTGAAAAGACACAATTATGGAATAAGTTTAGTTAATGGGTATGAATTTGGAAAGCTTCGTGAAATATTAAAGTGTAAACAAAAAGACTTAAAAACAAATCAAAAGCAACAGACACAATCAATGATGACGAAATAGAACTTCTGTACACCTCAGGACAGTTGGGTACTTCTTCCCCAGCTGCACTTATCAACACTCTATGGCTGAACAACACTCTACATTTTGGGCTATGTTGAGGTGATATTACCCTTTGCTTTGACAGTGATCTTGGTAGGTCAAGTCAATATTTTATTTATTGATAGAATATCATAAAAATTCATATATATACATATTATATCCCTTTAAGCAGGAATATATTTATATATCATAATAGAATAGAAAATGTTTGATAAATATTCGCTATGTACCTAGCTATTGACGAACATATATGTATAACATCAAATATAGATTACAGTTTAAAGTTATTACCAGGTTAATCATGGATTAAGCCATTGCTAGTAACAGCATTTTATTTAATAACATCCTGATATTTTAATCACTCTTATAAAGAGTAAAATATCATGTAATTGAATAATAATGATAAAAAATACTATTATATCTATATTGGATACCATAAAGATTTGCATTAGCATGTAGCTAATCATATAACAAAATAATTTAGTATTTACAATTTAATGAAAGACAGACGAAAACTCGCACTGGTGAAGACATTCACAGTATTCGAAAGACACATCCAAGAATGTATGCTACAAATATTGTTGGCCGCTGCCCAATTAAAGTGTACAAAAAATATGGTGAAAAAAGTCCTTCAACTATGAAGAGCAATGAAAGTCCTTTCTATCTTTTTATATTTTTTAGTTACTAAAAATAGCACTTTCGAATTTATCACATTTCATCGCATTTTCATAGAACAAATCCAGGACTCATACTTTTCATTGTAGATTTTCATGTTCCAGCAATCATTTTAATATTGCTTTGTGATTGATTTATCGTAAATTAAATCCATCTGAATGGT